GCCCTGAACAGAACTGGTGGGGGAGGGACGGCAGTTCTCCAGTGAGGTCTTGACAAAACTTGTCTTCCACATGACCAAGCAGGTCCTTAGCACTGGTGTGCCGAGCTGGGACAGGGGCTGGAGGGGAGATCCTTGCTTCTGGGCACTCCGGGTGTGCGCAAGATGCTACCGTTAGGGCTTCTGTCTCCCGTGCCCCCAACCCCAACCTGCCTTGACAGATGGCAGCTTCTGTGCCAGCCACTGTGAATTGTCACATCTGCCCTTCCCTGAGAGATAAGCCGCCTTACCCTGAGATGAAGACTCTTCTTGCATGAAGAGTTCTACCTTGTGTTAATCAGTTAGATGCTGTCAGACCCTACCGGAGACCGACCTGTGGAGGCGGGCCACTGTCTCTGGGGCTCAGAAGGCTGAAGGAGAGATGAGGCTTGTCCACTGCCCCAGTGGGAAGTGATGGAGCTGCTGGTGCCAGGGGCCAAGTTTCTCAAGGGCAGTGCAGGCGAGGAGAAAAAGTCCTGGCCTGGGGATTAGGAGACCAAGTGCTAAATTGGCCTCAGGTGAGTCATTTAACGTGCGGGCTGATTCTTCATGGCTAACTGATAACCTTTGCTCTCTCCACCCCACAGAGCTGGAGCTGTGGGGAGCAGCAGATCAGATAATGGGTTGAAAGGGTTCTGTAAAGTACATGGGGTAACAATAATAAAATTTACAGCAAAATCATCTCCCTCCTCTTTGATGAAACCACACTTCTGTTTCACTGCCTGGGGAACAAGAGAACAAGCTCTTTTTCCTTAGTGATGAAGGAAGAATGGAATTGTTTACAAGCCTTTGCTTATGAGACTTCCAAACTAGCACCGCCCCCTCTCCGTACCCCCTGGAAAATCTACCAGGGAATGATACTTCAGGAATCACTCACCGTGAGTTAAGTCAGACAAAGAATTTTATTTACAAATGTTTGGCTTTTTTTTTTTTGGACAAAGAAAGGTGTGTGTGTGTGTGTTTTACACACACACACACACACACAAACATGCGCGTATGTGCGTGTATGTGCACATGGCAAAAGGTGAGGAAAAAGAGGCATGGGTGTTCTGAGATCTAACCCATCTTTCTACAGAAACATTTGTGGGGGAAGCACAAACAAAGGAAACTTGTTTAATTCACTTTGGCTTCAGTCAGCCAAAGGAACACATGATTCACCAAGGAAAGGAGTGAAGCATTTGGTTCTGGGGGTCCCTGGTGTAGTTTTTGTTTTTACACAACTATTTTGACAGAAAATTGCTCAACGGGCTTTTCTTCTACTTTGGTTATCGAGGGTGGCTCATTATCTGTTTTGTAGCTCAACAGACACAATCAGGGACACAGAACAGAGAACTTGGAAGAAACTTCCAGATTGACTCTAACTGAACCTGCGTATTTTATAGATAAGGAAACTGTGGCCCCCCGAAGAGGAAGGATTTGCTCAGGATCATGGAGAAGGGTGGGATGTTAGCACTGGCTTCACACTCCTCAGTCCAGAGCTCTTTCCCCCTCCGCATGCCTCCCGAGAGGCTGCAGCAGCCGTTCCTGAGGCAGGCAGGACACAGGGAGCCCGACTGGGCACTGCCTCGGCCTCTTCTCAGGCGCCTTCTGGGCCGGGTTGTTCTGCTGGTGGGGGAAGGGTCGCGAGGTGCAAGTCACCCGGTCTGGCCTAGAAACCAAGGTGCCTCGAGCTGAAAGGCCCATCTGCTGCAGTCAATTCACCCAAACATGTTAACAAGCCAGAGAGACCCAGCACAAAGCAGCGGTTACGGCTGGGCCCCTCTCCCACTGGACAGCCGTTTTTATCACCTGCAGCTGCAGTCATTTGGGGCCGCCTGCTGTGTCCTGCCACCCTTGGAGCCCGGTCCACTTCCTCTGCAGTGGAGCCTTCCACGTCAAAGCTGCCCGGCCCACTCACAGCCCAGGTGGGCATCACCGGGCCTTTCAAACTCGGGTTGCTTTCAGCGGTTCCTTTGAAATCTACTGCTTATCCTTCATATTAGCTCTGGAGGATGAGTTGCTGACCCACTGCCAGGGTCTATGAGGCTTTCCCTTGCACCCAGCCAGCTAACAAGATTGGGCTCCTGAGTGCCCCAGACACTCCAATTTGGGAGTGACAAATAAGTCACAGATGTCCGGGGGCCCTTGGTCTCACCATTCTGTGAAGAGTAAAGACAGCAAGCTTCACATGGTTAGAAGCGCAAACTGCTCCCAGTCCCCTTGGACCGCCCATTCTAATTTAGACCATCAACCATGAGTTTCCCAGGGAGGAGAACACTGATTTTAAAGGGAACAACCTCCCCAGTCTCCCTGCCTCAGCCTTCCCTCTTCAGCCCAACAATACACTGTTTGCCACAGCAAACCTCCTGAAAGCACAGCCCTGGTGATACTTCTCATATGTTAACTTCAATAACTCAGCTGTGTCACAGACAGGAGTGCTAACTTCTTGGCCAAACACGGCTCTTCACAGTCTGGTGCCAGCTGATTCATCCAGGCCACAGACAAGGGTCCTTTCAGCCGTGCCTGGACCACGTACACCACGCATGCCCCGCGTTTCTGCCTCCACTTTCCCTATGCTGGAGCTACAGCAACTCTCAGGTCCCTACAGTCCAGCCTAGGATGGGGCCCCAGCACCCATTCCTTTGGCACTCAGCCACGGACGGGGAGTTCATCCTATTGCCCGACACAGGCCCTGCCGCCCTCAGGCATTGCTACCTGAATGGAGATAAGATGATTTCCCTGAAGAGTTTCTCTGCACCTTCTTTCCTATCCTTCTATGGCAGTGGTACTCAACAGGGGGACAGTTTTGTCCCCCAGGGGACATTTACAATATCTGCAGACATTTTTGGTTATCAAGACTGGGGGGTGCCCCCCCAACAAAGGACTATCCAATCCCCAAAGTCAATATGCTGAAGCTGAGAAACCTTATACTAGAGTAATTAACAAGTAGCAAAACTGACTTGACTGTCTCCCTTCTACTGATGATGCCAGCAAATAGTGAAATACCTAACATAAGTGCTGAAGACAGAAAAAAGATTTACTCAGGGCCTGAACAACCATAAATTGACATGATCAAAGAGAGTTTCTTACTCCTGCTTTGGGTGGAATAGACTAGATGGCAGTCTGGTAGCCCCAGCGCTGTGCAAGAGCGGAACACTCAGCACACACTGCTCTCTACTGCTGACCTCCAATCACGGGCCGCTGTCTAATTGTGGGTGGGAGTGAGGTGGGGGAGGGGAAGCTCGGCTTCCCTGCGTGGTGGGGCAGCTGAGTTAGGAAAACCAACAGCACTGCTCCTACAGCAAACACATCCTGAGCAGCACCCGCCTCCAGGTCTGGCCCTGTGCTAGCACTGGGGACTTGGATAAATGACAAAGTGGCTGTCCTCAAGGAGCGCCTCGTCTAGTGGGGACATATAGAAGTAAACAAACAATTACTGATCTTCACTCTTGGCTAGGCTGATATAACTAAAAATCCTTTTGGGAAGGGAGAAAAACAATAAAGTATCAATAGACTATAAAGCAGTGGAGCCACACTGCTGATTAAAATCTATATTGTTATAGCAGCCCCTCTGAGATGAGATCAGCTCCTGGGTTTGCACCAGCTGGGCTTGTGGAGCTTGTAAATAATTAAAAGGTAATTGGAGGGGGAGACCAAAGTATTAAGTGGATTTCTCTCTCTCAGGGCAACCAGGGAGTTTCATTGCTGCCAGTTACATTATCTTTCGGGATTATATTCTTGTTTTTTACTGACACATGCAGCTCCAGATAACAGTTGGAGGAGTAAACTAATTAGAGCTGCTTAGACTGCTTTGATAGTCTTGGAGATGGGGGGAAATGGAGACTCAAAACTTTCGATTGCCTTTGTAAGCAAACCAGCAATAATAGGCGTGCTACTAAGAAGGCAATAAGGCTTTGGAAGGTAAAGGAAGGGGACGAAGGGGCAGAGAAAGAGCGATGGGGCTGGTGGGGAGAGGAAGAGGGAGGGAGAGGAGTTAACTCAGCATATTTAGTTGCTGGGGGCTGTCATTATAGCTCAGCCCAGGATAAAGAGGAGGATTTCATTCCCAGGTCTCAATAAAGGAGCTGACACAGAAACCAAGGGATACATGATCAGGCAGGATCCCAGGGAACATGCTGGCAGGAGCAGCTCTCCCTTACAGCTTTGTCCTGAGGTGAAGAAGATGGAGCTACACAGGGTGCAGGGGATCATCTCCTAGAGAGGCTGGGGTTCTGCCCATGCTTCCTGAGGGCTGACCCGGCTGGTGAACCCATTGCTGTGACAGGATACAAAGCCAGGAAGTTGAGTCACTGGGCTCAAGACTCAGACATGCCATCGTCCAAAGTGGAGATGGTTGCGGGGGGTGGGGGGGTGGGTAAGAGTGAGAAGGAAAGAAGGACAGGGAAGTGGGAAGGTGCATTTTAAGGCAGATGCCCATGTGCCCTACACTTAAGCCGCAGGAACACCCCAACCAAGCCAGTGAATGCAAAAATCAAAGAGCCAATGGATAAGAAAAAAAGAGTTAGCTTTTCCTTTTCGTGGATCATTTCAGATCCTCCCAACAAATCCTGAAGGGCCCCTATTCTTTCACTGGCCCTTCGAAGACTCTATTAAGCTAGATGCACCAGCAGGAAGCCCCATATACCAGTTTAAGTGATGTCCAGGACTGCTATAGGGCTAAGAAAAAAGTATAATTGAATTTGAAATGACTCCAGAGACCAGTTAATCAGAACAGTGACAAAAATAAAGCAGGACCAAATCTGGATGATCATTCCATTCATTTTCTACCCAGGCCCTCTTTGCCCCCTTCAACCTGGTTGTCAATTATTCTGATAAGTATGGGACCAACTGGCAGTAAATGGCTCTCGTCCTCCTGGGCTAAGATGCTGGCACTCTGCAGGGAGGATGGCTAACAGTGACCTGCACACAGTAGGCACTCAATATATATTCAGTGAATTGAAACAATGAGTTGACTGAACACTCACCTCTCTTCTGCATAAAGACGAAGAGGTCATCCAGGAACTCTTTCCTGTCTGGATCACTGTCCAGTTCATACAGCTGCAATCCCAAACCCGCCAGGGGAGAAAAAAAACACCACAATGAAAAATTCCATCTTATGCAGGAAGTCTTACACCAGTGATACACAACCATCTGAATGACTACAAATGTGACTCACAGGCCACTTCTATCCTTATTCCTTGGGGATCAGATACAACAACCCACTACAGAACTGCCCCTTTCGTTATCACAAAGGAAACATTACAGACCTTGGCAAAATCACGGGAGATCTCTCTTCCCCGGCCTCCATCTGCATCATCACTCCAGGCCAAACCACCATTCTAAAGGGGAACAAAGCACAGCGTTCAGAAGGGAGTAGGAAGAGAGTGAGAGAGGGGAAGGCAAGCGTTTAGGGTGCAGATGAGGACCCTTAGCAACTGTGCTCTCCTGGCTCACACTAAAGACTGACAGCTCGAGTAACTGCCCCTGCCACCCTAACAGGGACATCTTGTTTTTATGCTTTCAATTACGGTTCCAAAACCAGAGGAAGTCACGTGGAAGAATCATCTCCATTTGTTGGAGGGGGGTGGGTGTTACTTATACCTGATAACCCTGGAGAAGGAGGACACAAAGGCCCAGTTTTCTGAGAACCTGCTCAAACCTAGCTCATCTTCTGGGAGCCATCACTCTGAGATGTACCACTTTCCTGCAGGTTCTATATGGCATATGTTTGTATGTTTTATGATGTGTTTGTATATTATATGGTATGTTGTGAAGATACCTAGCCTGGCCTCCCACACAACACTCTAAGTGGAAGATAAAGGGTCAAAGGGAGCAAGACAAAGATCTCGAAGATCTCAAAGATCCTGTGGTCTCTCAGCCAAGCCTCACCACCAGAAGCCCTAACTCTAGTGATTAGAACTGCCTAGTGATATGAGGGCCCTCAGGGCCTGAGATTATTCCCAAGGCACAGAGACTCTGTGCCACTAGGGTGAAGTTCATTTTCATTAGAGAAGTAATGAAAACCTAAACCTAATTCGCTTGATTAGGTCAAACCAACACCATTCAACTTAACAGGAGGAAATGGCAAATATGCTTTTGTTTATGTTCTTGAAATCTGCTTCCCACTTTTATTCAGTTGGGTAACTTATTTCTCAAATCAGGCATCATCTTCTATGGGAAGCCTTCCCTTCACACCCAGCTGCACAAGTACTCTGGAAGGACTGTACATTTCAAGCTTAGAATTTCACATATTATTTTGGAATTATTTGTCATCCCCACATATTGTAGGCTCCTTGAGAGCAGTGTCTTATTCATCTTTGTACCTTTAGCACGCAGCACACTGCCTGACACTTATAAAGCTCCAGTGAATACCTGATGAACTATAATCACTGTTAAAAGGCATTAACTGTTTTTTTGAACCAATTAAGCAGCTCTTCAAAAAATATACAGACAGGGCTTCCCTGGTGGCGCAGTGGTTGATATCCTTATTCCTTGGGGATCAGATACAACAACCCACTACAGAACTGCCCCTTTCGTTATCACAAAGGAAACATTACAGACCTTGGCAAAATCACGGGAGATCTCTCTTCCCCGGCCTCCATCTGCATCATCACTCCAGGCCAAACCACCATTCTAAAGGGGAACAAAGCACAGCGTTCAGAAGGGAGTAGGAAGAGAGTGAGAGAGGGGAAGGCAAGCGTTTAGGGTGCAGATGAGGACCCTTAGCAACTGTGCTCTCCTGGCTCACACTAAAGACTGACAGCTCGAGTAACTGCCCCTGCCACCCTAACAGGGACATCTTGTTTTTATGCTTTCAATTACGGTTCCAAAACCAGAGGAAGTCACGTGGAAGAATCATCTCCATTTGTTGGAGGGGGGTGGGTGTTACTTATACCTGATAACCCTGGAGAAGGAGGACACAAAGGCCCAGTTTTCTGAGAACCTGCTCAAACCTAGCTCATCTTCTGGGAGCCATCACTCTGAGATGTACCACTTTCCTGCAGGTTCTATATGGCATATGTTTGTATGTTTTATGATGTGTTTGTATATTATATGGTATGTTGTGAAGATACCTAGCCTGGCCTCCCACACAACACTCTAAGTGGAAGATAAAGGGTCAAAGGGAGCAAGACAAAGATCTCGAAGATCTCAAAGATCCTGTGGTCTCTCAGCCAAGCCTCACCACCAGAAGCCCTAACTCTAGTGATTAGAACTGCCTAGTGATATGAGGGCCCTCAGGGCCTGAGATTATTCCCAAGGCACAGAGACTCTGTGCCACTAGGGTGAAGTTCATTTTCATTAGAGAAGTAATGAAAACCTAAACCTAATTCGCTTGATTAGGTCAAACCAACACCATTCAACTTAACAGGAGGAAATGGCAAATATGCTTTTGTTTATGTTCTTGAAATCTGCTTCCCACTTTTATTCAGTTGGGTAACTTATTTCTCAAATCAGGCATCATCTTCTATGGGAAGCCTTCCCTTCACACCCAGCTGCACAAGTACTCTGGAAGGACTGTACATTTCAAGCTTAGAATTTCACATATTATTTTGGAATTATTTGTCATCCCCACATATTGTAGGCTCCTTGAGAGCAGTGTCTTATTCATCTTTGTACCTTTAGCACGCAGCACACTGCCTGACACTTATAAAGCTCCAGTGAATACCTGATGAACTATAATCACTGTTAAAAGGCATTAACTGTTTTTTTGAACCAATTAAGCAGCTCTTCAAAAAATATACAGACAGGGCTTCCCTGGTGGCGCAGTGGTTGAGAGTCCGCCTGCCGATGCAGGGGACACGGGTTCGTGCCCTGGTCCGGGAAGATCCCACATGCCACAGAGCAGCTAGGCCCGTGAGCCATGGCCGCTGAGCCTGCGCGTCCAGAGCCTGTGCTGCGCAACGGGAGAGGCCACAACAGTGAGAGGCCTGCGTACCACAAAACAAACAAACAAACAAACAAACATATATATCATACAGAGAGTCCAAAAGGCCCTCTGCTAGTGGGGAGTATGAGATGTCAGAGCAGAAGTCGCCTGTTCACCTCATCCCACCTGTCAGTGGAGGACCCAGGGATGGGAATGGACACACTGAGATCATCACTCTCTCATTTCTCCCCCAGGACCAAAAGTGCCCATAGGCACAAGCACACACGTGTGCCACCCAGCCGGCTGAGGTGTGTAAGTGGCTGGGGAGAGACATCTGGGGTTGGGGAGCAGGTTTCTTGGGAGGACATTCTTTGGATTGCTTAAGGATCTCGTAAAATCATGCCAGTAAATGAAAGCGTGCTCTAATTCCATTCTCTCTCTTTAGTAAAGCTTGCGTGAAAGCAGGAGGTAATTCAGGTTATTCAGTTAAGTTCTGGGGCCGTACTTTGCTTCCCTTACTCAAAGTGGGCTCTGAGATGCAGACCCACTTTCTGAGAGCAGCAATTTAGTGCACACAGAGGTAAGTATAACCAAGAAGAAGTGACACCCTGTCAGTTGACATGAAACAGGCTACATCAAATTGTTTCCCTGCTTATCTAGTAAAAGATGTGTGTACGGAAGTGCTCAGGAAATGCTATCTGACTGTGCACACATCATCTCCCCAGGCAGATGCTGTAGAAATCTTCCTATAGCACCTTCAGCTCAGGGAGGCCAACAACCAAGCAGGAGGAACACATTTAAAAAAAAGAAAAAGAAAAAAAAAGCTATAACCCACCCCCACGTTGTAATTACAGTCAACAGAAATCTGGTGTCATCTGCTGGCAACTAGCACAATGAATAATCAAGATGAATTATGCCTGTCAGCTCAGCAAAACCAGACAGAGTTACAGTCCCCTTTCAAAGGCTGCAGTAGGTCACCCTAATGCCCAGTGATTTTGTTTGAGCC